GGGTTTTGCAGTCCTTAGTCTCCTGAGTCCTGCTTTATCCCCAGAGTGAGCCTAGGTACCCCAAGACACAGAATGTGATTCTTCCTCTTGTGAATTATGGTCTGCATGGACAGCCTTCAGCTGACCTAGAACGTAATCACACATACACACACACACACACAAAGAAAAAATAAAACCTCAGAGCTGGCACAGCCTAAACCAGAACTGAGACTCAAATGCTCCTTACATGCCTGCATGCATGCAGGCAGAGTGACCAGAGGCAGAGGGCGTGTAGCAGAGCCGGGAGGTGGGCAAACACCCCTTCTCAGCTCTGGCAGTGTGGGGCCTGTCTTTACCCCTGTGACCTGGAAGGAGGAAAGGCAGGCTCGGTGAAGCCAGATTTCCCTCTTCATTCTCCCAAAAGGCAACTTAGACCTCAGGAATTCAAAATGAAAGAACCTTCACTTGCCCTTCAAAGTCCTGATGCCGCCCAGGGGTGGCGAGCCGGGTTATGCAACTTGCAAGAGGAACCCCTCTCCCGTGGGTCTGGGCCTGGCCACAGCCTGAAACAGTCAGCTGGACCTAGCCGCACCGTCTGTCCTGACCCAGAGCCCAGTTCCCCAGCTTTCTCCACAATGCTGGTCAGGGGCCTTCAGGTCCGCCTGGCCTGGTGAGTGCAATGTCAACTGACTCTCTGTGAGGGTACTGACTCTCTACTCTCTCCTTATTGTACCACTGGTTCGCCAGGGACTCCTGGGATTGGTCATTCTCAAGGTCTGCAAATGTCTCATTTTCTAGTTCTCGTTTTCTGCTATGTGGTTCTACTTTGGGGGCGGTAGTTTTCTAAAGCCTCACTGCCCGTGATGCTGTCCGTATGTGACTCTGTGCCTTAGTCAGGTGTTGTGCTTTGTGGCTCCTTTTCTAGGGACAGTGGTTTCTTTTTTTTTTTTTTTTAATTTATTTATTGAATCACTGTGGGAAAGGTTACAAAGCTTTCAGGTTTATGTCTCAGTCATGCAAATATCAAACACATTTCCCTTTACCAATACTTATTTTTTCCCATGAAGAACCCCAATAAAACCCCACCCCCCACCCCTCCCCGTCCCTGTGAGGCAGATGAATTCTAGTTAACACTCTATCCGCTTTGATTAGATTGTTTCAATAAAAGATTCGCCACTATTATTTAGAGTTTACCCCCCCCCCCCCAAATCAGACATGCTGAAAAAGCATTGTGAAGTGATTTGCTTTCTACAGCTGGGTTCAAGAATTAAATGTTGGTTTTGGATTTCTGCTATTTTACCTATTGACCCTGGAAGTATTTCTACTGAAAGTCAGATAGTTAAGAAATTGGTTTCTGTGTTCTGGAGTCGTGGCCGTGCTGGAGAGCCGCTCGTGGGGGGCAACTGGTGGCCTCGGTAGGGCGTGAAGGGCGGAGCGAAACGCCCCCCTTCCCATGAGGTTTTAGTCGCCCCCACACTCCCGGCTCATACCTGCTGTCCACAAGGCTCCCATGTGGCCGCCATCTTTCTTTCCAGAGAGGAGAGGGCGAATGGGGCAACACCCTTTCCCCTCCGGCAGACTTGATGGGCTGGATCAACGCATAGTCCATTCACTTTTCTGCTCCAAGCTGCTGGGTTCTGCATTAAGTCCTTGTGCTTCTGGGGCCATGGCCGTGCTGGAGAGCCGCTCGCGGGGGGCGACTGGTGACCTCGGTAGGGCGTGAAGGACGGACCGGAACGGGGACAGTGGTTTCTGACCACAGAGCAGCCCCTGTGCCAGCCATGAATCCGACAAGTCCCACCTCAAGGAAGCCACACAATGACAGGGAGCCTGATAGGAACACAGGCAGCCACCTTGTGGCGTGGAACAGAGGGGTGACAGGCCAGCTCAGAGCTTCTTTAGAGCTCTAAGTGCATGGGTATGCGCACACACACACAAACACCAACCACACGCACACAAACACACACCACAAGCACAAACACACACTACATACACCACACGCAAGCACACATACACCACACACACAAAAACACACATGCGCACAAACACACAAACACCCACCATACACCCATATACGCAAATATACACACATACCACACACACATACACAACACACACGCATGTGCACACACACATGCGCAAGAGTTGTTGAGCTGCTCATTACATGCTAAGCAAAGTTTTCTGTTTTCTTTTTGTCCACACAAGGTGATGCTCGGCAGGAGAGCCTGGTCCAGGGCTCTGGACACCATTGTCCACTTTTATTGCCTGCATTAAAAGTCCCTAATTCCTGCTGCATCTCTACCCTACCCTCAAGTTTGTCCTTCATTTAGTCATTCCAGTGAGTTTCCTTTTCACTTCAAGATGATCATCTTGGGCAGGGGAGATAGCTCAGTGGTCAGGGACCAACTTCAACCCCCAGCACCACACTCCCCGCAGCACCCTCCCTGCCCCGGGGTGGCCACAGTGCTCCCCAGCAACATCATAGGGCCTTTGCACAAAGAAGCTGTTGAGGCCCTAGCCCAGAGTGGCCCTGGATCCCCTGAGCACCGCTTGGGAGGCACGTGCCACCCCTGCAAAGAAGACAGAGGATGTGCTTGATTGCTTCTCAAGCAGATGTTCTTTTTTCGAGTGCTTTCTGTTATTTCCCCCCTCCATTTCGAGAAGACTATTTTTCTCCTTTTTTTGTGCGTGGCAGGGGCAGGGGGGAAACACATGGCAATGCTCAGGGGTTACTCCTGGCTCTCGAAGGACCAGATGGGATGCTGGGATGGAACGCAGGTCGTCTGTGCGCAGAGAGCACTTTCACGTTCCTTTTATTTTGCCCATTCAATTTCAGGATAGAACATGGTTTTGTCATTTGTCTTGTGGGGGTGGGTAGGGGTGAGAGTTTCCTTCTCTTCTGTTTTTCTCCTGGGGAGGTGGAACAGCTCTAAAGGAAGTTCTACATTTGCATCTGTTTGCTTCCCAAGGGGTTAACAGCTTTAACTGCCCTGTTTTCACTTCATTTTCTTTGCTTGGGGAAAAGGTCCGATCTCTTAAATACAACTGCATGCATATGTTGGCAGCACCCATATAAAAACTGTGAAAAAAAATAATGCAAGATAATACAGTGCAACTGCCTTGTTGGAACGGGCAGCTTGATTTGTTTGCTTGTTTTTGCTTTGGGGTCACAATCCACTGTGTGCAGGGGTTACTCCTGGTTCTGCACTCTGCTTTCAGGAATCACTCCTGGTAAGCTCCAGGAACCATATGGGGTGCTGGGGGATTAGAATCCCGGTTGGCCTTTGTGCAAGGCCAGCGCCCTATCTGCCAGACTCTCCAGGGCCCCTAGAACTGGTAGCCTAAAAGGACCACATATACTCAAAAAGTTAGGTGGTCAGGAAAGACAAGTCTTGGGCTGCCAGGTTCGGAGGGGGAAAAGAAACTGCTGGAAAAGGAAACTGGGGAGGAAAAGCCTAGGAAAGGAAGTTTGTGTGAGAAAGTTTCAGAAGAGAAGTGGGGAAACCTCCACCCCCCCATTCCACCCCCAAAAGCTGGAAATGAAATTCAGAGGAGGCTGTGATGAACTTGACTCTAATGCCCTTCTTGAGAACTTTCAATTGGAATTGGGGAAGAAGGAAATTATTTCAAGTGTTCCTGGCAGAGAGAGGTAGATTTGATGAAAGCTCAAGGAGAAAAACACCCTATTTTCCTAAGCGCTGGGAGGCTTTGCCGGGACAGAGAGCTAAATAAACCTGAATTTGGAGATCAGGACAGGAGGGGTTGCTGGCTGGGGGCAAGAGCTGGATGTGGTAAGTGCAGAGTTATTTCCTGACAGGAATGGAGAGCAAGGCAGGAAGGAAAGCAGGAAACCTGGAGTAAGTGGTCAGAAGGCAGAAGCCCGTTCTAGGGAACTTTCTCACAATGAAATAGAGTAATGAGTCGGATATCCTTGGGATCGCCTCTGCTCTGCATCCGGGCATTCAGTCAACCGCGGACTGAGAAATACAACATGGTTGGGTCCAATTGTGTTTATGCAAACGTTCCTGTCAACAATTCAGTAAAACTAACTCCTGACATAGCATTAATGCTTTTGTTGTTTGGGTTTTGAGTCACAAGTGGCAGTGCTCAGAGATCACTCCTGGGAAGGCTTCAGGGACCAAATGCTGTACTGGGGATCAGACCTGGTGCAAGGCGAATGCCTTCCCCACTGTACTGTCTTTCCAGCCCAACACAGGTTGGTGCTCTTTGGAGCATCCCGAGTAATCTAACATACTTTCAGATAACTTAGAGGGCGTGCAAACCATCCGCTTCACAGATTGGGGCATGTATGCAGGGTCCCGGGGCCTGAGGGACGGCTATCCAGGGCAAACGACTGGTGTCCAGGTTGCGTCCTTTTGCGTTGCTGTGTCTAGGATGCCTGAGTCTCCTCCGGGTTGTGGGTTTACAATCGGGGCACTCGGTCGTAACAAACAGCTCGAGGAGGGGTTGTTTGGGTAATAATGCACGCACCAGCACGCACCAGGTATTTAAAAAAGGATCTGGCCGCGTAGGAAGCGCGACTTCGAGGCCCAGTTGTCGGCGCTATCTTTTTTAACCCAAGATCTGAGTGTCAGCGCCTGGCACAAGGCGAGTGATGAAAGGCCTCGCAGGCCAAGCGCTCCCCCCATCCCCCGGGCCCCGCCGGGGAGGGCGGCGGAGGGAGGAGGAGGCCGGGGATCACGGCGCGGCCTCGGTCGGGGGGTCCCGGCCCCGCCCCCCTCTGGCGCTCGCGGGGGGGGGGAGGGGTGGGCGGGGCTCGAGCCGGGCCCGCGCGCGGCCAGACCAGCGGTCCCAGCGGCGCCGGGCAGCGGCGCGCGTCACGTGACGGGGCGGGGCGGGGCGCGCCCGGGAGGGGAGGGGGCGGGGCGCGCCCGGGAGGGGAGGGGGCGGGGCTCGCGGGCGGGCGGGGCGGGGCGCGCGTCACGTGGCGGGGCGGGCGCGGGGCTCGCGGGCGCGCGCGCGGCGGGCGCGGCGGGACCCGGAAGCGGCGCGCGGCGGGCGGCGACGCCGCGGGGATGGCGGGAGCCGGAGCAGGAGCCGGAGCTCGCGGCGGCGCGGCGGCGGGGGTCGAGGCCCGCGCGCGAGACCCGCCGCCCGCGCCGCGCGCGCCCCCGCGCCCCCGCCGCCCCCTGGCGCCGCCGTCGGGCCGCAGGATGGAGGCGGCGGGCGCGGGCCCGGGCGCGGGGGGGGACAGCGCCCCGACCACCGAGGCCCTGTTCGTGGCGCTGGGCGCGGGCGTGACGGCGCTCAGCCACCCGCTGCTCTACGTGAAGCTGCTCATCCAGGTGCGGGGGGCGGGGGGACGGGGTTGGGGGGGGCAGGGGGAGGGGGTTGGGGTGCAGGGGGAGGGGGAAGGGGGAGGGGACGGGGGTCTGGAGGGAGGGGAGGGGGTCTGGAGGGCAGGGGAGGGGGGCTGGGGTGCAGGGGGACGGGGAAGGGGGAGTGCACGGGGTCTGGAGGGAGGGGAGGGGGTTTAGAGGGCAGGGGAGAGGGGCTGGGGTGCAGGGGGACGGGGAGGGGACGGGGTCTGGAGGGAGGGGAGGGGGGCAGGGGTGCAGGGGGACGGGGAGGGGACGGGGTCTGGAGGTAGGGGAGGGGGGCTGGGGTGCAGGGCGAGGGGGAGGGGACGGGGTCTGGAGGGGGGAGGGGTGCAGGGGGAGGGCCTCGGCTTGGGGTGCAGGGGGAAGGGGGAGGGGACGGGGGTCTGGAGGGAGGGGAGGGGGGGTGGAGGGAGGGGAGGGGGGCTGGGGTGCAGGGGGAGGGGACGGGGGTCTGGGGGGAGGGCACGGGGTCTGGAGGGCAGGGGAGGGGGGCTGGGTGCAGGGGGAGGGCCTCGGCTTGGGGTGCAGGGGGAAGGGGGAGGGCACGGGGCCTGGAGGGCAGGGGAGGGGGTTTGGGGTGTAGGGGAGGGGGCGGGGTTCAGGGGCCGGGGCTTGGGGAGGCGGTGGGGGTCGGGGTGCAGGGGGACTCGGAGGGGGCGGTTTGGAGTGCAGGGAGGCGTGGGGACGGTGCGAGTCGGGGGCTGGGGTTCGGAGGGGTTCGGAGGGGCGTGGGGACCCGGGAGGAGGGCCGGGACTCGGGGAGGGGAGGGGAGGGGGCAGAGGGCGAGGGGCCCGGGTCGGGGGTCGGGGTCCGGGGGCGAGGTGGGCTGGAGGGCGACGCGGGCGGGCCAGGCCGCGGGAGGAGGGGCGCCGTGACGCGTCGGCAGGGGAGGGGAGGGGAGGGGAGGGAGGGAGGGGAGCGGCCGGGCCGGGCCGGGATGACGCATTTGCCGCACCAGGGGAAGCCTTGGCGCCGGGGCCTGCTGGGCCGGGACCGGGACCGGGCCGGGAGCGAGCGTCGGGCCGCGCTGGGCCAATCCCGCAGGGGCGGGCGTCCACTCGGCCTCGAGTTTTCCAGCGAGGGGTCGCGAAAGCGGCTGGGAAGAAGCGGGGGCGCATCGGGGTGGCTGTAGGTGTGTGACGACAGGCCGGCACGGGCGGTCCCAGAGGGTCGCAGCAGGAGCTGGGCCCTGGGACCCCCAGAGGCCGCTCCCCTAGCACGCACAGACCTGGGGGGGGCCAGACCGGCGGCTCCAGAGTCAATAAAAACGGGTGCGAGCACGGAAGTGGCCGCAGCCTGCAGCCTCGGGAGCTCGGATGGGAAGTTGAGGGGTGGGACTCGGGTGGGAGAAGGGACGAGGCCCCAGTGGGGTGCCGCGTGCTCTGGCCGCTTCTGTGCAGAGGGCCAGGGCCGGGCGCTCAGGTAACTGGGGTAGGGGGCTGCTGGGGGGAAGAAAGTGGGAAGAGAATTGGGCCTCAGGGAGAGCCTAGGGAGGAACTGGAACAGAGGGGTCTGGGCAGGTGAGCCCAGCTGAGCTATTCTTTTTGGGGGGGGCTTGTTTTGGGGGTGCCACATCCAGCGGTGCTTACGAATTATTCCAAGCTCTGCACCCAGGGGTCACTCCTGGTGGGCTCTGGGAAGGATTTGTGTATGTGTGTGGTTTTTTTTCTTTTTAGATCACACCTGGCGATGCACAGGGGTTACTCCTGGCTCTGCACTCTGGAGTTAATCCTGGCGGTGCTCAGGGGACCCTATGGGATGCTGGGAATCGAACCCGGGTCGGCTGTGTGGAAGGCAAACGGCCTACCCACTGTGCTAGCACTCCGGCCCCTGCAGCAGTGCATTTATTTTTATTTTTTTTATGTTTATTTTGTTTGCTTTTTGGGTCCCACCCAGCGATGCTCAGAGGTCACTCCTGGCTCTGCACTTTGCAGCTACTCTTGGCGGTGCTCAAGGGACCATATGGGATGCTGGGAATCAAACCCGGGTCAGCCAGGTGCAAGGCAAACGCCCTACCCACTGTGCTATCGCTCCAGCCCCTCTGGGGAGGATTTGGGGTGCAAGCAATTGAGGCCAGGCTGGCCACAGGCAGGCAAGCTCAGGCCTGTAGTCAAGCCCAGATGGCGTGACCCAAATTGCCACTCTCCGTGCATCTCGGGTGGACCTGGTGGGTGAAACTGGGCGGTGAGGGAGGCAGTGGGCCCCCGAGCGGGATGTGGCCGCCAGGGCGTGTGGGAGTTCAGGTTCCGGAATGGGCGACTTGCGGGTGATGAAATTGGGTCTGCCGCTTCAGAGGCCCTGAGTGGGATCGAGCTGCTGGGCCGGGAGTGGAGGGGGGGTGTGACGCACGCACACGTGGGCGGCCCGGAGGGAGGCCAGAGAGGAGATGCCGTGTTTGGGGGAGATAGGGTGAAGGGACCCTACAGATTTCAGGGGGACGCCGGAACCCATCCACTCCCAGGTCGTTGGAACAGACTGGGGAGGGGAGCCGGGGAGCCGGGCTTCCGACTGCCGCTCAGCCAAAGCCACGGAACCCAAAGAAAATTCGCTGGGCACCCTGGAGCTTTGGGGGGTGGGGAGGTGTGTTTGGGGGCCACACCCAGCCCTTGTCAGGGCTCCCCCTGGCCCTGAGCTCAGGGTTCTCCCCTAGTGGCACTCGGGATGTACCGGGTACTGGAGTTGTAGCCCAGGCCAGACACGTGCATGCTAAGTGCCCTGCCCACGTCCTGTCACTCCGGCCCCATAAACCCTGGAGCGTTTCACCCAGCAGGGGAAAGGTCTGGAAAGGAAGGGCTGGCCGCCTGGATCAGCAGTCACATCTCTTGCCTTCAACTCCCCTGGGCTAGATTAATTTTTTCTTTTTCTTCCCAGAAGATTCCCATGATTGGGTGGGGGTTTGTCTTATGATTACAGAGTCTCGTAATCAGTCTCCTAGCTCAGAATTGTGTCCATAAGGGACAGCCTGAATCTTGGGAAACACTTGACGAAGGCGGGGGTGGGGGTGGAGGAATTAGCCCAGAAAATGCTAGAAGCACACCTCGGCCAGCTTCTGGGGTTGCTGGTCACCATCTGAGCGACAGGCTGCTGTCCGCCCTGCCAAAGAGGGGCCCCTGCCCCCACCCCACTTGGGGCTGCTCCACTCGGGGCCCAGCCTTCGGGATCTGGTGGACGGATTGCCTAGAGGGGCAGATTGGTGGAGAATCCACAGGGGCTACTCAGAGCGGTGGGGGGGGGGCCCTCCCACATGGGGGCTGCAGGTTCCCGACCAGCAAGAGTGCTGCGGGCTCTAGGTGCTGGGCACTTGGGGAGTCCCTGCTGGTGCCATGGGGAGGGTTGCGGGGGGCGGGGGGCAGTGCTGGGATCAGTCGGGTTGAGGTGGGGGGGAGGATGGGCACGTCTCACCTACCTCTGCTTGGCTTCCAAGGTGGGCCATGAGCCGATGCCCCCCACCATCGGGACCAACGTGCTGGGGAGGAAGGTCCTATACCTGCCCAGCTTCTTCACCTACGGTGAGTGCCCGCGCCCCCTGGCGGGTGGCACCCAGTGGGTGCCCCACACTGACCGACACGCCAGCGCGAAGCCCCGAGGCGGCTGTGCCAGCAAACCACCTGGGCCTCGCCTGGCCCCTGACCGCCTCTTCCCAAGTCCACCTTCCCTGTCCCCATTTGTCACCAGGTGGCCCTTAACGGGGACTGTCTTTGGTCTCCAGCATTTTGGAGGGGCCCAGCGAGAGCACCGTGGGGAATATGGGGTCAGGGGATCGAACCTGGGGCTCGTGCCTGCCCTACAGATGCTCCACCACCTGAACTCTCTCCCCCAACCCACGGGACCCTCTTGGCCCTTGTCCCCTCCTGCTCCCTCTGCTCACTGCCCCGCGCTGGGTGAGTCTCCCGCTATCTCGGCTGCCCTTTCCCCGTCGGCACCCTGGGAGCAGAGTCCGGGGGCCTGCTGCCCAGCCAAGGGTGCCGGTCCACGCATGTGCTGTTTGTTTTCTTTCCCGAGGTTGCTGGGGACGGGGTGGGGGGGTGGTCCTCAATACCCGGGCATCCCGGGCACCCAGTGCAGAGTTAGCGCCGGGCTTGCGGGGAGCGGGGGAGGCAGCTGGGGGACTCCCTGAGGCCAGAACCCGGAGTCCAGTTCATGTCACATGCATCCTCTCCCGAGGGGCTGGGAGGGGTCGGGCCCTCATCTGCCTCTCCCTGCTGTAGAGTGAGGCCCAGCCCCGCAGTTACAGCCGCTTCCACGGTGAGGCCGTCGAGCTGGGCGTGCAGACTGTGAACTTGCTCCGGTCTGCGCCCGGTGGCCAGCTGCCTGGGCCCTGTCCGACGGCGCCCACTCCTCTCGGGCGCTCGCAGAGAGCCCTGGGCAGCTGTAGGACCCTGGGGTGGGGGGAGGGGTCTTCCTGCTTCTCTGCCCTCCGTGAGCAGGGCTGGAAGGGGGTCCTCAAGGGGGTCCTTACTCCTCACCCCGGCCACACCTCAGCTAGAGGTCCGGCCTCGCTCTCGGTTACTAGCAGGCTGCCGCCGACAGGCTCTCTCCCCCACTGATGGCCGCTCCCCTGCCCCGCCCCGCCCCCCAACTCTCCTGCCTGTTCATCCTGAAGTGGGCCCTTCTTTAGCCCCCTGCCCCCCCCCCCCCGGGAGCCAGATATGCAGGTGTGAGGCCCAGCAGAAGCGGGGTAGTACTGAACCCACGGGCCTGTGGACACCTGGGCCAGCGAGCTGTGTTTGCTGGTTTCTGCCCGTCAGTGCTGGAGAGCAGGGGTGGGTCGGAAAGGGGAGCACGGCCAGGGACTGTTGGGACGCGGGCGGCGGAAACTGTTTCATGGGGCTGGTCTGCTCCCCTGAGCACAGAGCCAGCTTACTGCCCCCTCCCCCAGAGAACCATGACATTGAAAAGTGTCACGTCTTGGAACATGGTTTAAAAAGTGGATGGTCAGTAAAGGTAGGACTGGAAAGTGCAGCAGGAGGCGTTTGTATTGGCCAACTTGGGGCCGATCTGATGTCCGGCACTGATCTGATCTCCGGCACCACCGTACCATCTCCCAGCATGTGGCCCCAAAACAAAAAATGGAGGGGAGGGGGGAGTGAGCCACTGGAGGCTGGAGCCTGCCAGCGCATAGGGCTGACTCCTGGCTCTGCACCTGGGTCACTCCTGGAGGGCTCAGGGACTTACTCGGGTCAACCATAGGCAAGGCAAATATCCCACTGTACTATCTCTTTGGCCCCCCAAAACAAGCGTTTTTAAAAACGTAGATGTGGGAAACAGGAAAAATACCCTTTCAGGATTCCTGATGAGCGAACACCCCATTCATTCTGTCGATGGCTCCTGGTGCCTCTGTTTGAGTAAGGGTGGCAGGGCCCTTCCTGCTATTGGGTCAGCGTGACGATGGGGGGGCGGGGGACACGGGGTCTGTACCAACTGTACCCGGGACTCTTTTTTGTCTGGTTTGTGGGTTTATCCCCGGCCCCCTGAGCATTCAGGCAGGAGTCCTACCTTCTCCCTCAGCTTGGGAGCTTCAGTGGTGCCTTTTGTCCATTTCTCTTTGTATTTTCTCCCTTTTCTCTTAGAAATTTGTTTTTAGGCAAACAGCTGGTTTCAGGATTGTTGCACTTAAAAGTACTGAGTTGAAAAACTGTAGCTAAGTTTGCCAGATAGATTGTTCAAAACTCAAAAAGAAAAAATTCCTAAACTTGTGGGACAAACATCTATTTTGAAGGTTTGTGGTAGGGCACTTGCCTGCGCGAGGCCAACCCGGTGGAGCCAGGTTCGATTCCTCCGCCCCTCTCGGAGAGCCCGGCAAGCTACCGAGAGTATCTCGCCCGCACGGCAGAGCCTGGCAAGCTCCCCGTGACGTATTCGATATGCCAGACACAGTAACAACAACGTCTCCAATGGAGACGTTACTGGGCCCGCTCGAGCAAATCGATGAACAAGGGAGGACAGTGCTACAGTGCCAAACCCTGCAGGGCCTAGAGACAGGATCTGGGAAAGGGTCTGGTTGCTCTGGGGGGTCTTGATTGATGCCGGGGGCACTGTGAGCTGTCAGCTTTTGTTAAAACTGTTTATTGAATCACCGTGAATTACAGTCACAGGACGATTAATGATTGAGTCCCAGGGGTCCAGTGTTTGAGTACCCGTCCCCTCGCCAGTGCCCCTTTTCTCCACAATGTCCCAGTTCCCTCGCCGCGCGCGCCCCCCCCCACCCCCGGAGTCACTGTCCTCTCAGGGCTGGGCTGACCCCCTGCCCCCTCTGCTCTCTTGCAGCCAAGTACATCGTGCAAGTGGATGGGAAGATCGGGCTGTTCCGGGGCCTGAGCCCCCGGCTGATGTCCAACGCCCTTTCCACGGTCACCCGGGGCAGCATGAAGAAGGTGAGTCATGGGGCTGGAGCGATAGCACAGCGGGGAGGGCGTTTGCCTTGCCCGCGGCCGACCCGGGTTCGATTCCCAGCATCCCATATGGTCCCCTGAGTACCTCCGGGGTAATTCCTGAGTGCAGAGCCAGGAGGAACCCCTGAGCGTCGCCGGGTGTGACCCAAAAACCCAAAAAAAAAAAAAAAAGGTGTGTCGTGGGCAAAGTCGAGAGCCTCTGCCTGAGATTCCGCGATGCCCCCTGCACGCCTCCGCCCCTCCTGCGGCCAACGTGGTGCTCTGCTCTGCGTGTCTCAGGTGTTCCCTCCGGACGAGATGGAGCAGGTTTCCAACAAGGACGACATGAAGACCTCGCTGAAGAAGGTGGTGAAGGAGGTGAGCGTCGGGACTGGGGTCACTGTGGCCGTCGAGGGTGGGGGTCCGCCTCGGGTGGGCATGTGGAAGGAGCCCTGCACAAGCTCTTCCCATCACTGGCTCTCCTGGAACCCAGCGGCTTTCGGGGAGAGACTTGGGGTGGGCCCGAGGCCCGTCCCGGTGGGCTGACCCGCCCCCTCCCCGTGCCCTGCGCTCTCTTGCAGACCTCCTATGAGATGATGATGCAGTGCGTGTCCCGCATGTTGGCACACCCCCTGCACGGTGAGCTCCACCTCGGGGGCTGGGGTCAGGGTGGGGGCCGGGCCTGGCCCGCGCGTCCCCTGATTGTCGTTCTCTCCCCTCAGTCATCTCCATGCGCTGCATGGTCCAGTTCGTGGGACGGGAAGCCAAGTACAGGTGGGTCACTCTCCGGACCAGCCTCGCCGCCGTTCAGTCTGCCACACCGGACCTGGGGCCCCCCCCCTGCCCGTTCAGGGGAACGCGCTGTGCTGTGTTCCTTAGATAGGCCAGGGACCTGTCTCTCTTCCACACCCCGGGGCGGGGGGGGGGGGGGTTGCTGTGTGGGCAGGGCGGGTGGGAGCGACCTGGGCAGAGGAGTTCAGGCACTGGGGCTGAAGCCACACCTGAGACCGGGCAGGGGTCTCCTCCTGGGCCCAGCTTCCAGCCCACCTCATCCTCTACGGGGAGTCCATTCCCCCGAGCTGGTGCGGAGCCGGGGCTACGAAGCTGACGCAGGTTCTCCCAACCCTGCCCTGGGACGCTTCGTGCAGGACAGATCTGCAGGGTGGGCCACCAGAGCACTGTCCCCAGCTCCCTGCGAGGCCCGCCACCTTGTCCCAGGCTCCGTGGGTGAGAGTCCACTGACACTCGGCGAGCCTGCGGCCGGCCAGCTGCGGGCCTCAAGGCTCCGTGCTCTGTACCAGCTCTCTCGGGAAGTGGCAGTGGAGACTGCTCCCCTTTAGCAGCTGTTGTCCCCCGGGGGCACAGATTGTGCACGCACGCACCCCCCCCCCCCCCACACACACACACACACCAGTCTCTCACCCCCTTTGGTTTGCTAAGACGCTCTCCTCCCCAGCCTGAGGGGGGCTCTGCCCCCCCCCCCCCAGGTGCTACCCGCAAGTGACGTCACGTCCATGTTTTTCCTCTTCACAGTGGCGTGCTGAGCTCCATTGGGAAGATTTTCAAAGAGGAGGGGCTGCTGGGATTCTTTGTGTACGTGAGTGCATCCCCCATCACTGGCCACGGGCATCGTCCACCAGCAGGCACGGCCACTACCTCTCGCTGCAGCCGGCAGCCAGGGCCTCCCTCCGGCTCTGCATGCCAGCGAGCCTGGGCACATCGCGGCCCGGAAGTGTGCTCTTGTCCAGCCCGCTGGTGGCTTCCTTCCTTCCTCTCTCCCTTCTTCCCTCCCTTCCTTTTGTTCTCTCTTTGGGTTTGAGCCACACCCCAGAACAGGAGCTTACTCCTGGCTCTGCGCTCAGGGGTCATTCCTGGCAGGGTTCATATCATATAGCAGGGTGACCATATCGGGTGCCAGGGATCAAATCCAGGTCAGCCACAGGCAAAGCAAGTGCCGTGCACGCTGCTATCTCTGTGACCCCTAGTTTTCTTGAAACGTGAAAAAACCTGGCCCTCGGGGCCCACAGCCAAAGCCCCTGTTTCCTCGGAGTGTCCTTTGTAAAGAAACCCCTTCCAGAGACTGCCACAGGAGCAAGCACACAGAACCAGAAGTCGGCTTGCCAAATGAGGTCTGGTTTTGCATCTTTAAGGACTTGATGATAGCCCACGTTCTGTTCTGCTCTATAGGAGTTCGGGATTTTTTCTGTGTGGATTTATTGTTGACCTGGTGGGGTATTTTTGGTTTGTTTTTGGTCTTTGTGCCACTCTCAGCAGTGCTCAGGGGCTACTCCCAGCTGAGATAGAAGAACTTGGGTGTTGTTCCTGACTGTGCTTGGGCATGTGCTGGGAACCGACGAGAGTTGGCCACGCGGGACAGGCACCTAAGCCCTGTGCTGGCTCGGGCCTGGTTTGCTATTCGTGCTCCAGGTGTGGGTGTGTGAGTCTGTGTGTGTGCGCTCCAGGTGTGAGTGTGTGTGTGTGTGTGTGTGTGTCTTGTCTTGTCTGTGCTCCAGGTGTGGGTGTTTGAATGTTTCTGTCTATGCTCCAGGTGTGGGGGTATGAGTGTGTCTGTGTGAGTGTGTGTTGTGGTTCTGCGTGTGCTCTAGGTGTGGGTGTGAGTGTGATTCTTACCAGGAGTTGATTTTGCTTCCGAGGGCCAAGTGTGTGTGTGTTCGTGCGCGCCTGGGTGTGTGTGTGAGATTTTTCACCACAAGTCGGTTTTGCTCCCCAGGGCCTGTGGCACCGTCTGGGGATAGGTTTTGTTTACCTCAATGAGCAGTGTCCCGTGGGTCGAGGCCAGGGGTGCAGCTCTGTGCCCTGCAGTGGAGACAGAGGTCAGCCTCACAGCAAAGAGTCGTTCCCCCCGCCCCCATCAGTGCGGGCGAGGAAGGTCTCGGTTTCTCACACGCACAAAGTGACCGGAACAGATGCTGGCCAGTGACTGGGCGTCAGACGCCTGCTCTGTCAGCCCTGCCGGCACAGTCCCCTGCGCTGTTGTGTGTGGAGAGGGTCCCGCAGCATGGTGTGTGTCTGCCCTTCGGGGTTTGGTGGTTCGTGTGTTTGGGACGGACGGAAGGTGTCGGCACTGCGAACGGCGGGGTGTGAAGCCCGTGGGAACAGGGCGGCCCAGGCAGGTCTGCATCTGCATATCCCTTACCTCAGTAGCCCTTTGAACTGTCCCAGTGTGTCACAGTTACATGTGTATGTGCTTATCCAAAAATCCTGATTCTGCTTCCTCTCCCAAGACAGCCTTCCCTCTGGAGCCCGTCTCAAGTCCCTCATTAATTCATGTTTAGGGATTTGGGGCCACCCCCTTGGTGCTCGGGGATGTTCTCTGACCCTGTGCTTCGGGTTGTATTCCTGGTGGTGCTAAGGGGTCCGTACGTGGCACCTCGATTGAACCGGAGCCTGCCCTCCGTATCGTCTCTCACGCTCCACGTCAAACAGATACTGGAGAGAAAGCACAAATGACACACAAGGTCCACTATTTGCCTCAGGACTTGACCTCCATTGGTGTGTAGAGCTGTTTACGGCCGTCTGAGCCCCTTCTCGCCGAAGCTTGCGCAGAGCAGTCAGTGCCCCTCTCCTGGGGTCAGCCAGATGCCTGGTCAGGCATCCGTGAGACCTGCGTGGGGGAGGCCGGAGACAGGCGCGTGCACACACTTCTGATCTGCATCCGAAAACCCAGACACATGTCTGTGTGTGTTGGGTGCTGCACAGGGGGGCTCCTCTCAGCCTGGCGCTTGGGGGGCGGGGGCGTCGCCCCCAGTGGAGCTGAGGAACCAGGGGTATAGGGAAGGGAGCCCAGACTCCCACGGGAAAGCTTGTGCGCTCGCCCTGTGAACTGCCGTCCCAGCCCTTGGTCTCGTGTCTGGGTCCCAGCTCTGAGCGTTGCAGGTCCTGGCTAAGACTGAGCTCCCTGGGGCCGCCCCGGGCGTGGCTCCCCGCTCCCCTCGTGAGGCCCTGTGGCCCCGCGGCCTTCCTCCTGGGGACCGTGAGCCTGGCACCAGCCTGCCTGCCTGCCTGCCTCGGGCTCACCTCGCACTCGCTGTGTTTTTCAGAGGCCTAATCCCGCACCTCCTGGGAGATGTGGTCTTCTTGTGGGGCTGTAACCTGCTCGCCCATTTCATCAATGCCTACCTGGTGGACGACAGCGTGAGTGACACCCCAGGGGGGCTGGGGAACGACCAGAATCCAGGTTCCCAGGTTGGTTGGAACACGCACTTTCCCGTCTTTGCCATATGCCGCTGCCGCTCGGGACTCTGGCCCGGGCATGGCGGGGGCTGCTGGGCGGAGGGCCGAGCAGAGGGCCCGGCCCCCGGTCAGCTTTGCTTCTGGACCAGGGTTCCAGACGGCAGCTGGACCTGGAGGGGCGGCCGAGGAAGCCAGCGGGGCCCAGAGCCCCGCGTAGGGACCGGGAATCCCGAGGCGCCGAGTTAATGATAAACCGTCACTGCGTTAATGTTTCACGCTCTCCCCGGCATGCATGAGTGTTCGCCGGGGCAGCGCCGTGCCCCCATTGGCCAGGGAGGGAGCCCAGAACTGGGCCCTGCACTGCAGGCTGGCAGGCTCGCTGGAAGGAGGCCCTGTCGCCTCTCGAGGCTCTTCAGGTGTGCCGGGAAGTGGGGTGGGCAGGCGCACCCTTCCGTTTCATCAGCTGCCACCCACCCAGCCTCGCTTGTGCAAGCCTTGGCTCTGCTTCAGGCCTGGCGAGGCCTCGGGCCTCCGAGAGGTGCTCATTGAGGACCTGTGTCTGGGCACTCGCCACTCCACGGTCAGCTTCGGGGCGCCGTGGGGGGCCGGGGGGTCGCTAGTAGCCTGACCCTCTGATGGTGAAGGTCGCCCACCTTGGAGGGGCGTGGGGAGGGGGCAGAAGCGTATCATCGTCCGTGTGCCTGTGTCTGGGCCCTGCATGGTGGGCTTGTGTGGGGGGCGGGGGTGGGGGGTCTGCTCACAGCAGTGACCCCTTGGCTTTGCAGGGGGTCCGCACGTCTCGTGGCTCCCCAGAGACCAGCTCCCACCTGCAGTGATGGTGGTGGGCGCCGTGGCCCACAGCAGGGGAAGGGCTGCCGCAGAGCTCGGGTGGGGGTGGGGGCAGGGGGAGTGCCTGTGGCCAGCACCTTCCTGGCCCCTGTTCCCAGCCGTGTTAGCCAGAGGTGGCACAGCGGCACAGCTCAGAGCCCCGAGTCACTGTCCCGCCGAAGGGCTGTTTCCTGGGCTAAGGACAGTTGAGGAGTCGGGGCTCTGAAGGGGGCGAGAGCCGAGGTGGGCTGAGGGGGCCGCCAGTGCCGTTTCCCTGCTGCCCGAGGACGGCGCTGGCAGGCAGGAGGCATCTAGGCCCACACCCTGCCCCGGGCGCCCACCTCTGCCAAGCCGGACATGGCTGGCGGCCAGACCCTGCTCGCCAGGGCCCTGCGTCCTGCACTGCCCCTGGCCGGCCCTGGAAGGGGTCAGCGTTGGCGGCAGCTTGCGGGTTGCTGGGCAGAGAGTTGGGGAGCCCGTGTGCAGGGCAGAGGAGGGGCCCGGGCGAGGGGCCTGAGCTGGGCCCGTGAGCAGGCGTCTGCGTCCTGAGATGCGCGTGCAACCCGCCTTCCCCTCTGCCCCTCCAGTTCAGCCAGGCCCTGGCCATCCGGAGCTACACCAAATTCGTGATGGGGGTGAGTCGAGCTGGCCTGGCCCGGACGTGGGGTGGGCGGGCCGCGGGGCTGGGGTGCAGAGCCGCGGGGCGGTGGGGGGGCGGTAGCTGGCGCTGCGCAGCCTCCCGAGGGGCTGTGGCAGGGAGGTTGGTGACTGCTGGTCGCCCCTCGCTTTCAGATCGCCGTGAGCATGCTCACCTACCCCTTCCTGCTGGTCGGCGACCTCATGGCCGTGAACAACTGCGGGTATGTGCGCCAGCGGGGGGGCCCTTGCGCCTGGCCTGGGTGGGTGGAAGGTGAGGGTGGGGAGGCGGTGGCAGTGCCAGGCCATTCCGCACAGTGGCCCCGCCGCGCGGGTCTGCCCCCCTGCCTGGGGCCTGATCGCTCCTTCCCGCAGGCTGCAGGCCGGGCTCCCCCCGTACTCCCCGGTGTTCAAGTCCTGGATCCACTGCTGGAAGTACCTGAGCTTGCAGGTGAGTGAGCTGGGCCGGGGTGGCTCCGGGTGCCCGGGACGGCGAGAGAGAGAGAGAGAGAGAGAGAGACCGTCAGAATCAGACGCGAGGAGGCGGAGAAAGAGAATGTGGGTCGCCGTGGAACCCAGTTAGCGTAGAATTCCACTGGGTTTGGACGGGATTTGAGATAGTCCGGTCTGGAGTTACAGAAGAATTCCGCCTTCACGGGGACTGGAGAGCTAATGCGGGGATGAGGGGGCTCCCCTTGCATCCCACCCACCTCCGTTCCATCCCTGGCACCTCATCTGAGTGCAGCAGCTGTGGTCCCCCAAACAAGTGCACACGTACACACGTCTGACTGGGTCCTTCCTTTGAGCACTGTAGTGCCTCTGAGAACACTGACCCTTGAGCTTCTAGACTGACGGCGGAGGCTCCCTGTGTCCCCCGGGAGTTGCTGAGGGCTTTGGCCAGCTCTGGGCTCTGGGGTTCCCGGCCACTGCCGCCTCCGCCTCTGCAGCTTCGGAGCCTTGAGGACGCCTTTGGGACGTCCAGTGTGTGTTGGCCAGGACTGAGGGCTCCTTTGCCTCGCTTTTGCCGGTGGCCTGCGGGGACTTCCTGCCGGCCTCCCAGTGAACCTGAGGGTGATAGCATTTTTTCCAGATGTTCTGCCGGTTCCACACATGTGGGCCTTGGAGGAGTCTCCAACTGTGGGACTCTGAAACCAGAGGCAGTGCCCCTTTGGCCTGGCGCTGACCCTGCCCGGGCCTCCCTCTGGGTCCGGCTGAGCGCGAGGCCTGACCTGCCTCTCCCCGCCCCCACTGCGCTTCCAACCCAGGGCCAGCTGTTCCGTGGCTCCAGCCTGCTGTTCCGCCGGGTGTCCTCGGGCTCCTGCTTTGCCCTGGAGTGACCAGTCACCATGACACCTGCCGTCAGCCTGCCCCTCGTGGGGGAGGCCCAGTCAGGCACCTGCAGAAGACACCGACTCCGCCGCACCCAGATGTGCTCCAGCCCGGCCGGGCTTTGGTTCCCCTGTTTCCATGTGTCTGTCCAGATGGGGTTGGGCGGGGGTCAGCCCAAGTGGGTCAGGTCACCAGTTAGATCTGGGGACGTGGGTGGGGCTCGGGAATTGGGGCGCCATCTCCACACTGCCCAGACGGAGGGGCTGACGGAGGCCCAGGCGGGCTGGGAGAAGGTTCTGGGCGCATCCACCCCATCCCGCCCCCCACCCAAGTCAGCCCGGCTCATTCTGCAGCCCGGGAGCACCGCCCTCCTGCTTTGTAAATAGGGCCCCGCCCGGCCGGCCACCAGCTGTTACTAAGTCCCACCTTCGTCTAATCAACACTACTTTCTGTTCCGAGGGCACTTTCGGAATGGGAACTCTTGGGCCTGCTCGGAACGCGTGTTTCCCCTCCCCCACCCCCCCCCAAGTGCTTGTCAGTGTCGTGGTGGCCCCTCCTGTGCAGGATCCGGTCTCCCGTGTGCAGTGAGCATCCGAGCAGGCAGACCCGTGTCTCTCGTCCTCCGCAGTTTCAAAGTTCCCTCAAATAAATGTATTGGTGGTGATTTGGAACTTGGTGGGAGCCTCCTGTTGTGAGCGGGTACTCCTGCAGCCTGACCCTGTCCCCCGTCCCCCGTCCCCGCCATTGGTATGAGCGGGGGCTCGGTGGCTGGCCTGGGGGTGAGCCCTGGGCTTCGGAGGAGTCTCCGAATGGGATGAGGCCGAGATGCCAGGGCTCAGCATTGAAGAGTGTAGAAGCTGGTGACCGGGGACTCGGCCCTGTAGGAGCGTCTCAGTCCTGTGTGAAGATGACAGGCTCGGTTTTCACTGCCACTCGGTGGCGTGTTACAGCTGGAGAAGCAGACCTGGCCCAGCTGAGCTTCCACGCCTCATCTTCCCTGGACAAGTGGGTACTGCACCCCCAATCTGCTTCTGCCCAGCAGCAGGGGCGGTAAACAGACCAGACCCCAAATGGGGTGTGCTGGGTCCAGGAGACCACCACCATCTTAGTCGGGTTTGCATACCACAGGCAGAGGGGGCAGCGAGGCACCCCCCCAGGCACTCTGCCCTTGCTCTAGTGGCGCTGGCACCTGAGTATTGGGGTCTGGTGGCCAGCCATGCTTCTCCAGGGTGTCACCCCATCGCCCACCCCTAGGATGCTTTGGCTGAACTGTTCCTTCCCCTGGTCATTTAATTTATTTTGCTTTTTGGATCACACCCAGCAATGCACAGGGGTTACTCTGGCTCTTCGCTCAGGAATTACTCCTGGCGGTGCTCAGGGGACCCTATGGGATGCTGGGAATCGAACCTGGGTTGGCTGCGTGCAAGACAAACGCCCTACCTGCTGTGCTATCACTCCAGCCTCTCCCATGGTCATTTCAGTGGCAGAGAAGGAGCGCGCTCAGGTGCGCACAGGCTTTCACCTCTGCCCCTTGGGATACCCCCCATCTCTGCGCTGCTCAGGGGTCACTCTTCCTCCTGCCCCTCGCCCTTCAGCCCTGGTTTGGCCTATCTGCCTCCCTGCAGCTGCTGAGTGAAACACTTGATTCTCAGGCCACAATGAGGGGGGCAGGGCGGGAGCGGCCAGACTGGGCTTGGCGAGTCCTGGGAGGCTCCTGGTGTTGCCCACAGTACCCTGGGGCCACTGAGGGTCTAAGACGGTTTTTATGCCCCAGAGAGACATTCCCACCCCCCCAGTGAAAGTTTGCTCTAGGTTTTAGTTCAGCAGATTGCAGGCCTTCCCCTCATAGAACCTCAGTTGTGTTCTGAGCCCCACAGGTGGCCTGTGTCCTCAGCCTGACCCTTTCCTCTCCGGGCCCCTGGCCCTGCTCCCTGGCGGGCGATTGGGGTGGGAGTGAGCATCGGAACCTGACCTGAGGGACAGAGCTGGGAACCCTGGTCCCGAGGCCGCAGCAGCCTTCCTCATTGCCCTGCCCGTCCGCCCCAGTGTGGGAGCCACGGAGCAGAACTGAGCGAGTCCCTCCCTGCTCCTGGCCAGGAGGCTGGGTGGACGCCCTTCCCTCTCCCGGCCTGGGCTGATCCATCCCCACCCCGAGCCCCATTTCCCCTGCCTGACTGGTGTGGGACACCCGTTCCTGCCTTCCCCCTAGTGCCCCCAAACTAAGCCCCTGGCCCTGGTCTTGGACGGCTTTTCCTCGGAGAGTGGCCTCGGGTGCTTCTGCACAGGCTACTTTGCCTGATAGCGCAAATGACGAGAAGAGGGAAGCCCCCACCCCCAACTGGAGTGCAAGTTGAGTCAACGTCTGAAAAGCTAAAAGTCAACGATGGCTGGTGAAAGACTCAATAGTTCCTCCCTCAGACCCAGAACAAGACAAGAATGTCTTCTTTGCCCTTACTCAGCATTGCACCGAAGGGTCGAACCCAGGTATGTGTCGGAAGAGGTTCTCTGAATTACAAAGAAGTGCCGTAAGTCCAGAGAGATTTTACATCATGTAGTCACGTAGCTGACAACACATTGTGCCCAGGCACCACAGATGGGCCCCCAGCATTGCCAGGAATGATGCCAAAGCACCCTGGGCGTGCCCCCTAACAAAAAAAGATCTCTGTAGTTGACATGTTCATATGTATATGCTGAAAATACTGTCAACTGTCACTATCCTCCCGTTGTTCATCGATTTGCTCGAGTGGGCACCAGTAATGTCTCCATTGTGAGACTTCTTGTTACTGTGTTTGGCATAGCGAATACGTCACGGGCACTGTGAATAATAAATCAGTCCAGATTGTAGGATATAAAGCTGGTGCACAAAAGATTTGTGAAGAGAGAATAGAAAAAATGTACTTTGAAAACTATGAAACATAGTTAAAAAAATTAAATAAGATCCAAAATGTGGCTGACCTGAGTTTGAACCCCAGCACCAAATAGGGTCCCCCAGCCTCACCGGAAGTCAATTGAGCACCACTGGGTGTGCCTCTGCTACCCATAACAAGAAAATCTAAAAATGGAATAACATCCTGTGTTTGTGAATTGGAGGCAGACACTATTCAAATGGCAGATAGGTAACTGGCTAGGGTCTCAGCTGAGTCCTTGTAGATCCTAACGTGTGTGTGTGTGTGTGTGTGTGTACATATGTCTCTGTCTTGGCCTGGAGATGGACAGATGGACACTGCCTGCACATTACAGTGCTCACGTGCACTTCCACACTATCGCTTTCCTGCCCCATGCAAGTGCCGTCCACTCATTGGTGAGCGTGGAGATGCCTTCAGCACACGGAACTGAAGGTCACTCAGCAGAGCTGCATCTGAAACCGTTTTTGTTTTGTTCTGTTTGGGTCCAGACCCAGTGGTGCCCAGGAGCCCTATGAGATGCCAGGATCTGAACGCAGGTCGGCTGTGCCCACTGTTCTGCCGTACTGGCCCTGGGCCTTCTCTGTTCTTGATGTCCCTGAGCTGCTGCGCCCATGGGAAGCTGGTCCTGAGACCTGAAAGCATGTGGCCCCCACTCGTGACCTGGGAAAGTCTGCCTGCACCCTGGGGCCCCTCGTGGCGTTTTCTCCCTCCCGCTGGCTACCTAGGGCTGAGAGGAGGGGAAGATGGGCTGCCCTGAATTTTGAGCGTGTGGGAAAGAGGCTGTCGCAGCTTCCAGGGGAAGTTTGGACCCCTTCAGCCCACCCACAGCCCCCCACGCAGGAACCCTGGGAAGAGTCAGGCTTTTATTCAGAGGCCGGGGGCTGCTTCCCCCAGGGGTCCCTGCCCCACCCACAGAACCCCACTCAGGTGGGACTTGTCTTATCCCCTTCCCTCACAACTCCCCCCAGGCAGGAAGCGGGAGGGCCCTCGGGGAGAGCCCCCTTTTATAGGTGGAGGGGCACTCAGGACCATCCCTGGGCAGGTGGGCGAGGCGTGCAGTCAGGAAGCCAGCCAAGCCTTGTCCCAGAATGCCCCGAGAAATCTGGCCCAGGACAGATGTCTGTGCCCCCAGACGTCTGTGTGGCACCGCGCTTTCTCCCCGATAGCCAAGAAGCGTCTTGTCTGGAACGGCAGACTGGGTAGGTAACAGGGAGTCTGAACTTTTCTCTCCCCGGGGGGCTGGAGGCTCTCCCGCGGGCAACACAGATCCCAGAAGCCCAGGGCACAGGGACGGGGTCTGTGTGTGTCGGGGGTGGGGGCGGGGGGTGTCTGATGGTCTGATGAACCCTCAGTTCTGGCTTTGGAAGAGCAGGATGGGAGCGCTGGACAACGCAGAGCAGGCCATGGGACAGTCGCTCAGAAAAGTCTGCCTGGAGTCTGGCCACAGGCTAGGGTGACACTGGACCACAGAGCAGGACCTGCCCGGAAGCTGTGGCTTCTTCCTTGGAGAAGGATGAGTCAGAGCGGTCATGTGGCGGTTTGCCCCCAGACTTGGCCTTGGAGCGGAGACCCCCTCAGAAGATTCTGGCCAGCACCAGGGAAGGCAGCAGCAGCTGTCCCAGCAGGGAGCCCCAGAGCAGGCCTGGACCCGAGTTCTGCCCTGACTGGACACTTGGCCTTTCATGGCCTTCACCTGTGGAGAGCGAGAGTCCGGGCCTCAGCCTGGAGATGTTTCTCCGACCTCCCGTCACCCTCCAGACGCACAGCTGGGGACCCTTGCTTAAGGCATGTGGCCCGCCGTGGCTGCCATCTGGGCTAGGGCAGGGGCACTGCCACTCTGGGGCCAGGAGGGACACGCCAGGCCTTACCTGGCAAGGACGACTGCAGGGCGAGGGCACGCGCACCCTCGGCATGGGCAGTGGCCGAGGTGTTGGGGGACACGGTCAGGGGCTCAGAGGTGTTGTGCCTGTCGTGGTCCAGCGTGGCCGGCAGCTCGCCTGGCTTGCCCGGGGCTGGGAAGACTGAGGGCGAGACCTCTCCGGAAGGAGGCAGCCCAGCCTCCGCTTGGAAATGGGGCGGCAGCTCCTGTGTCCCCGCCAAGGACATGCTGGGGAGCTGAGAACTCTCGGGACTCATGGAAGTCATTCTCGTCCTGCTGGCCTCGAGGCCCGTGGGCTGGGGCGCAGAGACCAGTCTGGATCCGGGGGAGGTGACCTCCACCTCATCCAGGAAGGGCGTGCTGTGGGTTGTCGAAGAGGAAGGGCCCTCTGTTGTTGCTAAGGAAGGTGGCGCCTCTGTTGCCATGGAAGGGGGCTCCTCGGTTGCTAGGGAAAAGGGAGCCTGGGTTACCAGGGAGCCTGAGACCTCTGTTACCAGGGAGAATGAGGTTTCCGTTGCCAGGAAAGAAAGAATACCAGTTTTCCTAGAACCGGAGTCTTCGGTGGCAGGGGAAGATGGAGTCTCAGTGCCCCGGTCAGGGGAGTCTGGAGCTTCTTCCGGCTCTCTGATGGGTTCTGAGAGGAAACAAGGCCTGGCATGAAGGCTGCAAATAAGACCCGGAAGGCCTCACCCAGGCAGAAAAGGTGAGAAGGCCAGACTGCCAACAGCACACACTCTCTCCCATGTATTAGTTCACTGCACACATTATAAATTCACAATTATTAAAATAAAAAATACATTTATTATATATGTGCTATGGTCCGGAGCGATAGCACAGCGGGTAGGGCGCTTCCCTTGCATGCGGCGGACCCGGGTTCGATTCCTCCGTCCCTCTCAGAGAGCCTGGCAAGCTACCGAGAGTATCCCGCCCGCATGGTAGAGCCTGGCAAGCTCCCCGTGGCATATTCGATGTGCCAAAATCAGTGACCAGTGATGTCAAAATGGAGACATTGCTGGTGCCCGCTCGAGCGAATCGATGAACAATGGGAGGACAGTGACAGTGATAAATTTGCTAAATAAATTATTAGGTACTTAAAGTTACACTAATTATATATTCTTAATTGTAAAGTTGCACCTCTGGAGCAATGTTGAATAAGCACACACACACACACACACACACACACAGAGGCCCCTCGTGGATAACAGTGCTAGTCGCTGTCACGGACAGTGCCCACGGTCGGGTGGTCGGGTCGGCGGCTTCAGGAGGGCACCAGGTGCGGTTGCAGCCAACCAGTCTAGCGGCCACGCCCACCGCAGGCCACGCCCCCGCAGGCCACGCCCACACACAGGCCACGCCCACCGTAGGCCACGCCCAGCCCGGCCAGCCCCCTTCCTCCCGACCCCGGCCGCGCCCGGCGCTGTCCCCGGGTGTCCTCCCGCGGCGGCCGCCCCCCACTCACCACACAGCGATTCCTCGCAGCGGTACCCGGCGGGGCACTGGGAGCAGGGCGTCCCCTCCTGGTAGGGCCGCTGCCCCTTCACGTTCCCCCTGCAGGAGGACCCCCCGTCACATGCTCAGTCCCACAGCACTCCGGGACCCCCGCGGGCGGAGGGCAGAGACCCCGACTGTGACCCCCCCCGGGGCTCGGTCACTCACGGGGGCTCGTAATTGCAGACCAGCAGATGGATGTTGGTCTCCTCGATGCCCTCGAGCTTCTCGCAGAAGTGGGAGCCGCAGCCAATCCGCTCTGTCCTGGCCCAGATCACCTGCGGGAGGGCCAGGCCCGCCCCTTAGCCCGGCTCTGGCCTCGGGGACCCGCGGGGCTGGGGGCAGGCTGGGAGCCTGGGTTTGGTGTATGGGGTGCCAGGGGTCGAACCGGGCTCAGCAGTGCCGGCTGTGCTATCACTCTGGCCTGGGAGCCCTTCCCAGGGTGCCCCGCCCAAATTTTAGGACAAAAACTGGGAACGGGGGATTTGAGTTGGTGGTGGAGGTGGTGAATCTATGCCCCTGCCCCTCTGAAAACTCTCCTATTGGAGCCGCCTTCAAGAGTTCTGTCGGGGCTGGAGCATCAGCACAGCGGGTAGGGCGTTTGCCTTGCACGCGGTCGATGCGGGTTCGATTCCCAGCATCCCACATGGTCCCCTGAGCACCGCCAGGAGTAATTCCTGAGTGCAGAGCCAGGAGTAACCCCTGTGCACCGCCGGGTGGGACCCAAAAAGCAAAAAACAAAAACAAAAACAGAGTTCTCTCTTCCTAGGGTCCTTGCCTTTCCTAACAAAGGGGACCCAGCCAAGCAGTGACTCTCTGAAGAGAGGATCTCGGTCACATCAGCAGCAAGCAACGTTCAAGGAAAGGCGCATAAGGATTTGTTTCAAAAGTGGGACTTGAGGGGCCAGAGAAATATAGTACAGTGGTAAGGAGTGATTCCTGAGCACAGCCAGGAGGGAAGCCTGAGCACTTATGGGTGTGCCCCAGAAGACCAGGGGGGAAGGGTGGAACTTGCCACACAAATCACAGCACTGCCATTTTTTGGGGGGGGGTCACACCTGGTAATGCACAGGGGTTCTTCCTGGCTCTGCACTCAGGAGTTACTCCTGGTGGTGCTCAGGGGACCATACGGGAGGCTGGGAATCGAACCCAGGTTGGCCGCATGCAAGGCAAACGCCCTACCCACTGTGCTATCTCTCCAGTCCCGCCATTTCTTTTCTTTTTTTCCTCTTCTTTCTTTTTTCTTTTTTTTCCAGGCAATGGGGTGGGGTAGGGAAAGTGCGCACCCAGCAGTGCTCAGGACTTAATCCTGGCTCTGGGCTAGAGATTACTACTGGTGTGTTCAGGGGATCGTATGAAGTGTGAGGATCAAATTCTGGTCCTCTGTGTGCCTTACATACTATTTCTCTGGCCACTACACCACCAGTCCTTTTTTTGGGGGGGCGGGTATGGGGCACAACTGCAATGTCTGACTGCCCCGACTGACTACTGGCTTTACACTCAGGGATCACTCCTGATGGGTCTCAGGGGACCACCAGGGTGCCAGGATCGAATCTGCATTTGCCATGCGTAAAGCAAGCCCCCTACCCTCTATATCATCGTTCTGGCTCCGTGTTTCTTCATTCCCCCCATTTTTATAATCTTTTACCTTCACATTGTTATGAAAATGTTTTTATTGCATGCATACATAAGTATGTCCATATGTGTGCTCATGTGTTTTAGGGCTATGTAAGTTTACCATACTATCATGAAAGTGCCACTATCTGTCCACCATTGTCAATAGGATTCTTCCCTTCCATTCCACATTATTTCAGATGTGAGCCTATTGTCACCTCCTCTCTGGCTTCCCCTATACATTTTTTTTTCTATGTAGGAGTACTGCTATGTATTCCCCTATACATTTTTAACCACTATATATTGTTGTCTCAAGCCACTTTTCTTCTAAACTCCTCTAAAGTAAACATTTGTCCTATTCAAGGCCTCCTTCACTTATCCGGTACCAAGCTGTTACTTGATACAACCTGAAATACACCTTTGTGACAAAGTCTTCCAAGAGAAAAAATATCATATCCACACAGCACCCAGTTTTCTCAAAACTATTCATTTCTGCGCTGGAGAAACAGTAGAGCAAATAAGATACAGCTGACCCGGATTCGATCCTGGACATGCGATATGCCCCCACCCCTCCCCGAGACCTGTTAGGAGTGATTCCTGAGTGCAGAGCCAGGAGTAACCCCTGAGTACTGCCTGATGTGAGCTCAAAATAAAACAAATAAAAAAAAAAACTATTCATTTCTGAGCCAGTGCAATAGTACAAGTGGGTTGGGTTGGGTGCTTCCTTGCATGCAGCCTACCCAAGTTCAACCCCCTACCCTGCCACGAGTAATTCTTGAGCACAGAGCCAGGAATAAGCCCTGAGCACTCCTGGAGGTGGCCCGACCCTTCAAAAAATATCCCAGAACATTTTGTTTCCAAGAATAGGTTGAAGTTGTGCCGCCACCATTTCTAAGCATGGGTCTTTTGACTACTGGGAAGAGTTCTGTGACAGTATGAAGCTAGAATCATCAAAGTAACTGACATGTGTACCAGCTGCCTCTCCGTGCTATGCCCTGTGTGTGCATAGACATCACACATGCACATTAGCTTCTGTTTGGCGGGTGCACACCTGGCAGTACTTGGTGGGGGGGTGGTATGTGGTGCTGGGGATCAAACTCAGGGTTCCTGAGCACAAAGTATGTGCTCCAGCCCTTTGAACTATTTTCCGAGCCCCATGAGATTAATTTTTATTTTGAGATATGACTGTGGTTATTAATTCTGTGTATGTGTGTATGTCACACACACACACACACACACACACACACACACACACCACTCGGGGATATGATTCCTGCCTAAATCAGGAGCCAAGCATGCTCCAGTGCCACTGATGAGAATCTCTCGGGCAGAAATGCCCCCAGAGTACATGCGCCCTGCCCTGGAGAAAGGTGGTGGGCATAGCCCCCTCTGGCACTGACAATAGTCCTGCAGGAGGATGTGTAGGGTGGGAAGTAGGAGAGGTACAGAACCAGAAGGCAACTTGGCTTCACCACTTCCTGATCTGGGTGGGTAATGCTGGGATTTCCTTCCCGAAAGATTAGCACTAAAAATACCTCCCAGAGGGGCACTGGACTATGCAAGGGTATGGGTGGGAAGGTTCCTTTTTTTTTTTTCACTTTCTAAAATTATCATGTTATTTGAGTAAGAAAGCATAGGGAAGATAAAAAAAATAATTCTGTCATTTTTCAATTTTCATGTGGATTTCTCCACACACAGCCCTACACCCTACATCTCTTATGATAAAGTGTTCAGAATTCAGTGGAGAGATATAGTACAGTAGGTAGGTTGCTTGTCTTGCAAGCGCGGCTGACCTGAGTTCCATACCTGGCACCCTAGATAACCCCTTGAGCACTGCCAGAAGTGAGCCCTGAGTGCAGAGCCTTGAGCACCACCAGAAGTGGCCCCCAACAAAAACAATCAAAATGTAATGAGAACTTTGACTTAAGCGAGAGTGTCCTCAAGTAGAAGAGAGGCTTAGAAGGACTCAGGGACTTTTTGCTCACTGACAATTTGTTTTCTTTTCTTTAACACTTTTTTTTTCTTTTCACACTGGGTGATGTTCAGGAGTTACTCCTACTTCTGCACTCGGAATCACTCCTGAAGGTGCTTGGGGGATGCCAGGAATAGAACCCAGGTCAGCTGCGTGCAGGGCAAGTGCCTTACCCTCTGTACTATCTCTCCAGCCCCATTTTAATTCAAGTTTTTAAATGCAAAAAAAGGGACCCCTAAACATCTTTTTTCCTTTGCAAGAGTTTAAATGCAAAAGAAAAAAAATAAATGAAACTGTCTATTTGATTTGTTGGTCCCCAGCAGGTAGGAAGCAAAAGCCTAAATTTTTGTATGTGCCGCCACATCCCACAGTGCTCAGGAGTACTTCCATTTCGGTGCTCAGAGGACGGTCCAGTGCTGAGGGTCAGATCTGCGACTCCAGCATGTGAAGCACCTGCTTCAGCCCACCGAGAGCTCGTAGAAGCAGCAATTTAGTTGCCAAGAGACACCCGGAGGGAGGAAGGAAGGGTACTTACTTATGCAGGGGCAGTTGCTGAGGAGGCCGGGCCCTCCTAGGCCTCAGGCCTCCAAGAGTTCAAGTGATTGTGTGTGTGGGTGTGGGTGTGGGTGTGGGGTGTGTGTGTGTGTGTGTGTGTGTGTGTGTGTGTGTGTGTGTGTCATATGCTGTTCTGGGGCTCACATGCAATCAAGTGCCACCCCTGAAGACTTGTCACTCCGACCCTGATGTACTCTGTGTCCTAAAGAGTCGCGTGGAGGGGCTGGAGTGATAGCACAGCGGGTAGGGCGTTTGCCTTGCACGCGGCCGATCCGGGTTCGATTCCCAGCATCCCATAGGGTCCACCGAGCACCGCCAGGAGTGATTCCTGAGTGCATGAACCAGGAGTAACTCCTGTGCATCGCCAGGTGTCACCCAAAAAAGCCAAAAGAAAAAAAAAGTTGCGTGGAAACAGTTTAGGCTATTTCAGAAGCGGACTGCACTGACAGCTCACTCTCGGGAAGCATTTTGGAGCAGGAGATTCCGGGAGGTAAACCGAGGCGGCCCCGCCCACCCCTCGGCCCCGCCCACCAGAGCCCCGCCCACCCCGGGCTCCGCCCACCAGTGCCCCGCCCACACCGGGCCCCGCCCACACCGGGCCCCGCCCACCCGCCCGCTTCCCCTGGACGCGCACGCACCTGCGTGTAGTGGCCGCACACCTGGCTCGCGTTGCAGGCGTTGGAGCTGAAGTTGTAGTGCTCGTGCTCGAGGTGCCACTCCTGCACGGCCAGAGGCACGTCCAGGCCCCGATCGGTGATGGCGAACAGGTTCTCGCCCCGCCGCTGGCGCTCCTTGTTGTGGCCCCACACGCACTTCTCTGCGTAGGCCTTGGCGAAGGCGGCCAGCTCGGGGTCCCAGCGCTGCGGGGCGGGGGGAGAGCTGGGTGGGAGCCGCAGCCGGAGCCCCTGCCCTCCCGAGCTGGCCAGTCCCCGGTGGGCTGTGCGAGGGGGAGTGGGGCGGGGGGAAGGACGCCCACCCCGAGCCGAGGACGCTGTGTCCTCTCCCGGCAGACTGCCGACCCTTCTGAGCTCTGCGGGGGCTTTGGAGGAATGCATGAGCTGTTTGCTCAGGGTCAGCGTTCGCGTGGACGGGGGCAGCAGTGCCCCTGCCGTGCCCTGGTCTGCCTGGACAGGCTGGTTCCTTAAGGTTTCATTCAGCCCTGCCTTGACCCCACCTCCCTACAATCAATCTGACTTAAGGAGCCAAGATTCCCCTAGGGGTTAGCCCAGACTCCGTGCTTCTTTTTGGGTGGGGGGCAAGAGGGGTGGGAGGAAGGGGGTATAGGGGGAGGCATACCCAGGGTGCTCAGGGCTTTCTCATGGCCCTGGACTCAGGGATCACTCCTGGTGTGGCTTGGGAGGCCATATGGAGTGCCAGAGACTGAACCATGGTCAGCAGGACAAGTGCCTACTCATCTCCGGAGCCCAGTTCTTGTTTTGTTTTGTTTTATTTTTTGCTTTTGGGGCCATGCCCAGCGATGCGTAGGGGTCACCCCTGGTTCATGTGCTCGGGAATTACTCCTGGCCGTGCTCAGGGGAACATATGGGATGCTGGGAATTGCACCCAGGTCGGCCTCGTGCAAGGCAAATGCCCTACCCACTGGGCTATCGCTCCAGCCCTCAACTCTTGTCAACTGCCTGTCCCCATGAAGATGAGGTGTCCCTGTGATCCTCACTGGCAGCAGCCCACTCTTCAGGGGGCCCACATGTTTGTAGATTCCACAGGAGACCTATCCACTGGGGACCTCAGCTGTGACAACCAAAGGGACATTTGAGCTCATGGAGGCTCTGAGTTCCATCTGCGTCCCTGGCTGGAAGGACAGTCCGGGGCTGTGGGAACTGGGCTGCCCAGACCTCTGACGGAAGGGCCGAGGAGGGAGGCCTGGGTCCTATTAAGTGTGTCCTTGGCTCCCCTGACAGTGGACGGCCTGGCCGTGACTCTCGCTCCACCCTCGGGGGGGCAGCCAGCTGCAGGTTCCAGACAGACACATAAGGTGCCAAGAGTCAGGGTGACCCTGAGGGTTGGGGCTGCGTGACCACACCCACCGCCCACCCACGGGACTCTGGTCCCTCCTTTCTCTGTGGTTTTGGGTCCCGATTTGCTGGTCCCTGCGAGGTTCTCTCTTCTCTCCAACTCTGGCAGTGGAGGGAGGGGGGAAGCGTTTCGGGGGTGGGGGCGTCTGGGCTAGAGTAGGGGAGGGCCCTTGCTGGACTCCTGGTGGTGGCCTCTGCCTCTGCACTCAGGACTCCCTCCCAGCAGTGGCACTGACATTTGTGACACTTGTCAATGTTAGTGGGCTGGAGCGATAGCACAGCAGGTAGGGTGTTTGCCTTGCAGCTGCCGACCCGGGTTCGATTCCTCCACCCCTCTCAGAGAGCCCGGCAAGCTACCGGGAGTATCTCTCCCGCACGGCAAAGCCTGGCAAGCTACCCGTGATGTATTCGATATGCCAAACCCAGTAACAAGTGTCACAATGGAGACGCTACTGGGCCCGCTCGAGCAAATCGATGAATAACAGGAGGACAGCGAAGTCAATGTTAGTATTGAGAGAGGCCTGCCCAGAGCGACCTCCCTTCCAGCTCCCACTGTCACTTCTGTCTGCTCAGATCCCTGGGACCCACACTAGGTGCTCCTCTAGGCCCCAAGGTGGGCCTCAGCTCTCACGGGAGCCCTGTGGAGGGAGCCTCGCGAGCCCCAGCGCCACGCGAGGGAGCCACGTGGTCCCCATCTAAACAGTGAAAGAATGGCACCAGACTTCATTCACTTCTGGCCCCCACCTGAGGTGAGGTCGGGGTCAAACAGCCTGGGTTGGTCTGGCTCTGACCCTCACGGGTCGTGTGACAGGTACAACGAGGCACCCGAGAAAGTCCCCCGACCAAACTAAGTACAGAGAAGGAGCACTGCGTTAAGCATGAGAGGAGGAGGCAGGTCCCGAGTATGGAAGGGAAAGGCACTGAGAGCCGCAGGTGTCAGGGGGACATGCGCGGAGCAGGGCATGCAGGTGGGAGGGACAGGCATGGGGCAGGGCAGGGGCGTGCCCGCCTTTGAGCTGCTTGGGGCAGGGGGAGGGGAGGGGCACAGGAAAAGCAGTGGAGGTCGAACACCCAGACCGTCGTCTCATGCTCCTGGGGCCACAGAGAACCCGGGGCACAGTGGGCAGGGACAGGGACAGAGCAGCAGGTCAGAGGCCTCCTGGGGTGCCGGGGTCTGGGGGCAGAGGGCAGAGACTGTCCTGGGGTCCTCGGTTTGTTTGAGGTCTTTCTGGCTTGTCTTTTTGCTTCGTTTTCAGCACCCTGCCCTAAGAGGTGCCCAGAGCCACAGTGCAAATGCCCGACCCCCTGGACTCACTCTGGCCCCTGGAGGGGCCTCGGGAGAAGCAAGGAAGGACTGAACCAGGGCTGGAGTGATAGTAGAGTATGTAGGGCGTTTGCCTTGCACGCGGCCGACCCAGGTTCGATTCCCAGCATCCCATATGGTCCTCCAAGCACCACCAGGAGTAATTCCTGAGTGCATGAGCCAGGAGTAACCCCTGTGCGTCGCCAGGTGCGACCCAAAAAGCCAAAAAAAAAAAAAAGAGAGAAAGGACTGAACCAGGGTGGTGCCAGTGGGAGGGGGGAGGAGGGGTTCGGGGAAGATAAGCTAAGAGGGGCTCGGGAGGTAGAATGGTGCTGACCCCGTTGGAAGCCCAGCGAGAGGAGCGTCCGCAACTGCCCCTCCGCCGCCCCGGTTGGCTCGATCACTCCCTCATCTGACGGTCTTCGAACACTTGGAGTTTCTTAATCCTTCTAAGTACAGGGGCCTCTTGTTTGATTTTTATTATTCCTGATTTGCTGCTGGGGAACTTGAGGCCCAGAGAGGTAAATAACTTGGCTAACCAGTGGCGAAAGGAAGATCTGACCCCAGCCTGTCTGCCTTTGCTGAAGTGGCATGATGTGGTCGGGGGTCCTGGCGGGGCCTCCTCCCCACCCCCTGCTCTCTCTCGCCCCTCAATATCCGGAATGCTTCCAGAATGTCGCCCCATTTTGGAGGATCAACACTGGCTGCAAAGCAGCCCCAGCCTCAGCCGGCAAGTGTGCAGAGCTGCCGGGGGTCTACAGATGGGGAAACTGAGGGCCCATACTGAGCTGCAGGCCCGGGTTGGGAGCCGTTGGTTGAGAAGCAGCAGCTCAGGACCCCAAGTGGTGGTCTCCATGACGTAGAGGCCTTCCTAGACCCTTCGCACCTTTCCTGGCTGGCCCTTTGGATCGGGGGCAGGGAGGGCTTCGGGGGCACCGGCCCGCCCCACCCGGACTCACTGCATGAGAGAGAGCAGAGCTTTACGCCTTGAACTGCCAAACTCCCTCTCAGGTCCCCCAGATGCCACCTGACTCTCAGGCACCAGCCCAGGAGCCGGGGACACCCCAGGGTGCCTGAGGGTGATGGGGGCAGGGTGCTGGGCCAGTCCTCAGGAGAGCAGGAATTTGGGAGCCCCTGCTCTGTCTCTTGTTTTCATCAGCACGTTAGCGCTGTGGCCTCTGCGTGCCGCCAGCCGCCTTCCTCCGAGAGTGGCCACTGCCCTGTCTAGGCCTCTCACTGTCGGGGTGCCCTGTCCTCACCCGTGTACAAGCATGCCCTCACCTATATATATATATATGCATGTCCTCACCCATAAGCATGTTCTCGCCCATAAGCATGTTCTCACTTGTAAGCATGTTCTCGTCTGTAAGCATGTTCTCACCCGTAAGTGTGTTCTTGCCTGTAAGCCTGTTTCACCTGTAAGTGTATTCTCACCTGTAAGCATGCCTTTGCCTGTAAGCATGTTCTTCCCTGCAAGTATGTTCTCGCCTGCAAGCATGCCCTCGCCTGTAAGCTCTTACCTTGTGAATGTGTCCTTATCTGTAAATATGTTCTCACCTGTAAGCATGTTCCCACATCTGTGTGTGTCCCCTTACCAGCACCCACGGGCTTTTGTTACGTCTTTGTCCATTTCACAGACCCTGTGCTAAGTCCATGCTTTTGAGATCTTAGATCTCACCCCTCACCACCCCCCCAGCATTTCCCCCATTGAAAATAAAATCTGTGCGATTCAGTCTGTGTTGATCTCCGTGTCACTGAGTGTCCCCATTTCACAGAGGAGGCCGGCAGACACTTCCCTGCTTGAGGGACAGGTGGTGAATGTGAGGTCCAGGCCCTGCCTGTCTTTCCTCTTTCCTCCCCCACCGCCCCTGGCCTCCGACCCCCTCTCTGTCTCCCCCACACACACACAAACACACACCTTGGAAAGCTTCCGAGGACCTTCCGTCCCAGGGTAAGGTCAGGGGCTTCCTGTGCTCCCCTCCCAGGGACACGTGTGCTTCAGGCCATGTGGGGAAGGGGTCAGGAGCAGGAGGCTGGAGCTCCCGGGCCTGCTTCTGCCAGCCTGTGGCCGGCAAGTGCCCCCGGGGACCTGAGGACTCTGACTCCTGGAGAGATGAGGCTGGGGTCTCTGCAGCCTTGGAGGGATGCGGGGAGGGGGAGGGTCTCTGCAGCCTTGGAGGCGGGGTGGGAGACCCCGGGGCAGCCGGGCCCACTCACCATGCGCAGCATGTTGGCGGCCGGGGGGTGCACCTGGGCCCGGTACCAGTTGTGCAGCTGCAGCATCGTGTGTCTCTCGTCGTCGCTCAGCGCGGCCGCGGGGCCCGGGGCGCGGGCCAGCAGGAGCAGCAGGGGCAGCAGCGCCCCGACACCGCGGGAGCCGTGCATGGTGGCCAGTCCTCGCGCCTCTCCCCGGCCAGGGGTCTGGCAGCTGGATTTAAGTCCGGCCCACACAAGCACCACCCTGGCCGGCTGCGTGGGCGGGGCGTCTGCTGGCTCGCAGTGTCCCCGGGGCGGGCGGGGGACCGGGCCCTGTGCGGAGGGTCCACTCCCAGCGTGGACCGCCCGGAGGCTGAGTCATGGGGCCTGGGCCAGAGTTCTGTGGGACGTCCCGAGTGGGGGACCCGAGACCTGTGGGCAGGTGGCAGATTCCTGGTCCCTGCTGCCCACGGGGCTGAGGCTGGAGGAGAGGAGGGAGGCCACCGGCGCTGAGTGGCAGGAGGGCGCCTTGGTGACTGGTGGAGGATGGAGGAAGGCAAGAGCCCTGGGTGTGGCAAAGGCTCCTTTGCTCCTGTGGTTTGGCCCTATTTTTTTTTTTTTTTGGTCACACCTGGTGGGAGATGCACAGGGGTTACTCCTGGCTCATGCGCTCAGGAATTGCCCTGGGTGGTGCTCAGGGGACCCTATGGGATGCTGGGAATCGAACCCGGGGCCGGCTGCGTGCAAGGCAAATGCCCTACCCGCTGTGCTATTGCTCCAGCCCCACTGGCCCTTATCTTAACTGACCCAGTCCCTGAGGTCGTGCCTCTGTCCTAGGACCGAAGGAGGATTCAGTGAGCTCCACGCTGCGTACATGGCACCCGGCCCTGTAGCTGGCACACAGTAGGTCCTCAAAAAACCGAAGAGCATCTCCACTCTCCCACGTGGAGGGCCATGGCTGCTCACTTGGAGAGAGAGCTGGCTGTCCCCCTCACCACACCCCCACATACAGCGGCTGTCACTGTGGACACAGCGACTCTTGGGCCTTTCACTCCTGGGAAATCTTTGTCCCCCATGTGGATGAGGGGACTTGAGGCGTCCATAGGGGTGGGACACTGGGCCCCCTGGGGCTGAAGACCCCCCCCCGCCCCAAGTCATTTCACAGCCACTAACTTAACTATCACAGAAATAGCGTGTCCAGGGGTTAGGGTGTGTGCCCTGTGTGTGGCCAACCTGGGTTTGATCTTTGGACCTGCACCTGGGCCCTGAGTGATCCCTGGCCACAAGTACCCCAACATTCAGTAACCCCCCACAACAGCTAGTCTGACCAGGACAGAAGGACGCTGGAACGTCTTCCTGGCACTCTGCGGTGCAGCTCCCATGCCACTGGTGGCCGGGTCCTCAGAACATCAGCAGAGTGACCTGAGGAGCCACTTCTGAGATGTTTCCCATGGAATTAAAATATATATATTATTATTATTTATTGGTTTGTTTTGGGGCCACATCCAGCGATGCTCAGAGCTTACTCCTGGCTCTGCCCTCAAGAATTACTACTGGTGGTACATGGGGGGGACCATATGGGGTGCCAGGGATCGAACCTGGGTCACCACCCCTACCTGCTGTACTATCCGTCCAGCTCCAGCCCCACGGAATTGGAAGCAGCAGGGATTTGAACACGTGGATGTACATTAATGTCCATGGCATCACTGTTCACAGCAGCCCCATTGCACATCGCTGGAGGCACGGACAAACACAAGGTGGTGTGGTACTCACACTGTTAGAGACCCCAAAGGGGCGAGTCTCGCCCGCCACACAGGAATGGGCCCCAGGGCCACTGTGCCATGAGACATACACAGATACAAGAAGGTATAAGAGGGGAATTTTGTATGACTCTACCTGAGGGGGCTAAGAGCAGTAAAATTCACAGAAGATAGAATGATAGTTCCCAGGGACTGGAGGAGAGGGGAAAGAATTTTATTTATTTATTTTCGGGGGGTGGGAACATCTGGCAGTGCTCAGAACTTCCTCCTCCCTCTGCATTAGGGTTCACTCCTGGCAGGGCTCAGGGGACCCTATGCGGAGCCAGGGCTTGAGCCTGTATGCAAGACAAGCACATTAACTGTCGCACTGTTGGGTCACACTCTTTCTCTGGCCTCAAGGATTTAACAGATATCGACATGGACAGAGTTTTGATGAGAGAAGATGAAAATGCTGAAATGAATGGTGGTGAAGGTTGACCTGGAATGCATAATCATGCTGAGTGATCACTATCTGTAAAATGATTGTGGTGGAGGCCGGAGTGATAGTACTGTGGGGAGGGCACTTGCCTTGCATGTGGCTGACCTGAGTTTGATCCCCTGTGTCCCATATGGTCCCCTGAACACCTCCAGTAGTAGTTCCCTAGCACAGAGCCAGGACTAGCCCATGAGCATTGCCAGGTATAACCCCAACACAAAAAACAAATCATGGGGGCTGGAGCGGTAGCACAGAGGGCAGGGTGTTTTGCCTTGCACGTGGCTTACCTGGGTTCGATTCCCAGCATCCCATATGGTACCCTGAGCACCAGCAGGAGTAATTCCTGAGTGTGGAGCCAGGAGTAACCCCTGAGCATCACTGAGTGTGACCCAAAGAGAAAAAAAAAACCAACAAAACATGATGTACCCTCTACTATGTATATTTTTTCACAACAATTTGGGGGTGGGGGTCAACCACCCTGAGGAACACTTACATTGGTCTAGAGCAGGTGGACTGAATAAAGGCAGAAAATAGAATCATGTTTGGAGAGGCTGTTCCCACCCCAGGCTATCCTGGCTACTGGGTGAAGCCCAGGATTCTGGGTTCCCAAGCAGCAAGATGAACAGAGACACTAACACGATAATGCAGAAGCAGTAGGAGTTTGATTCCAGTCTGCTGGGTCAACTATCTCACCCACAGAGTGGTCTCTTGATAGCGACCCCGACTTCAGGCAGCAAGCAGTTTATATAGGGTTGATTAAATAAGCAGTACATGCCTTATTGTTTCAGAAAAGAATCTTAGTTACCAAACAAAGGTGGTTTGGCAAGTGTCTAGGGTAACAATGGTTAGGCAACAGTTAAACAATACTTTTCAGTATCAGTACCAATTTCGTGATTACATAGACTTCTCGTTCTTTTAAGGTTAACATAAAGCAACTTCTGGGGCATTGTGAGAATTGATTGATTGAGCCCACTTGCTGAGCCCGGGAACTTTCCCAGGTGGGTTCAGGTTGGCTAGTTAAGCATTGTTTTACTGCTGGGAAGCTGAACCTGTTTTAGTTCCAGGAACTGAACCTGAGGCCTCCCTGATTTTCCTCATTTCTGCCACCTGTCATGGCGTCAGTTTGGCCCTTACAGTATCCAAGAGGGGAAAATAATCCCCATCCTTTTTTAGGGGGTTTGGAGGGGAGGAGTTAGGCCACACTCAGTGATGCTCAGGATTACTCCTGGCTCTGCACTCAGGAATCACTCCTGAAGATGCTCAGGGGACTACATGGGGTGTGGGGGATTGAACCCGGTCAGCTGTGTGCAAAGAAAGCGTCCTACTGTCCCTCCAGCCCCCCTGCCATAATCCCCGTCTTAAACGCCCAATCAGAAATCACAAAACACGTGAGGATCTGCGCTAGCATGAGTGACAGTGTACCACACCAATGAAAGGAGCTCTGGACGCAGCACCTGAGAAATAGAACCAGCTGGAAGATTTTCAGAACAAGCATATTTGAAAATAAAGGATGAAACAAATGGGTGACAAAAATGGGAGGAGAAAGAGGAAGGAGGGAGCCGGCGAAGGAGAGAAAAGTTGTGGAAAATGTGTTTGTCTGTGAGGAGGAGGAGGAGGAGGAGGAGGAGGAGAAGGAGGAGGAGGGGAGGAGGAGGAGGAGGAGGAGGAGGAGGAGGGGAGGAGGAGGAGGAGGAGAAGGAGGAGGAGGGGAGGAGGAGGGGAGGAGGAGGAGAGGAGGAGGAGGAGGAGGAGGAGGAGGAGAAGGAGGAGGAGGGGAGGAGGAGGGGAGGAGGAGGAGAGGAAGGGGAGGAGGAGGAGGAGGAGAAGGAGGAGGAGGGGAGGAGGAGGAGGAGGAGGAGGAGGGGAGGAGGAGGAGGAGGAGGAGGAGGAGGGGAGGAGGAGGAGGAGGAGGAGGAGGAGGAGGAGGGGAGGAGGAGGAGGAGGAGGAGGAGGAGGAGGCGGGGAGGAGGAGGAGGAGGAGGAGGAGGAGGAGGAGGAGAAGCAGACTTGGGGGTACCGGTGTGGAGAGGTGAGAGCCACGGTCCTGATGACCCCGGTTAGAGCCACAGCCCCGCGCTGCCTGACTGCACTCAGCAAATGGAGCTCGGGGTGGAGCACTTTCCTGGGAGCACAGGAGACCTCAGACAAGTACCTGATGGTTTGGACTTGAGGGAGAAATAGGAGATTTCCGAGAAGATGTCAGCTTCCCAGGAAGAGGGTTTGGTGCTGGGGCCCCGGCACGAGTTGCTAGCCAGGAAGTGGACACAGACATGCCCTTCCAAGGGAAGCAGGCACTGACTCTGCGGCCACACCAGGGCCGCACAGCTCCACCATGGGCAGTGTCCACGCCCTCATCGTTTACTCCTGGAGTGAAGCCTGTCCCGGCTTCTCGGAGCAACCTCAGAGAGGCCCGGGCTGTCCCCTCCCGTCAGGGCGAGAGGCCCACCAGGAAACCCGCCGTCTCCCAGGGTGCACAGGCTCCCAGAGAGGAAAGACTCCACAGCCCTTGCAGACCAGAGGGTCTTCCCAGAGCGGTGGCCTCGGCATGGCACTCTCCTTGTTGACCCCAGTCTCCTCATCTGTCCAGGGTAACAAGCTACCTGGGGCCTGGCTGTGTGCGCTGCCTTGGCCCAGGTGGAGGGCAGGGTCTGTGCCTGGCGCTCCCAAGGCTCTGGGCGTCAGCCAGTATGAATGCACTTTCACTGCTAGGTGGGCGAGAGAGTTGATGGGGTGAGGAGAAATGAAAGCTTGGTCATGGCTAGGACGGGACAGGTCTTGCCAGGGGGCGACCTGGGGTCGCTCCCTGGAACTGCACATGGTCCCCCAAGCACTGCCAGGAGTGATGCCTGATTAGAGCCAGGAGTAAGCCCTGGGCATGGCTGGGAGTGGTCCCTGAACAGAGCACCATGCAACAAACTGGCCTCCCCCAGGGACTGGGAAGGAAGTCACGCTGTTCTCGAGGA